TGCACCCCCCACGCCCCGACCCACTCCCTCCCCAGCCTGTCCCCAGTCACTGCCCGAGAGAATCACCGTCCATTTTCAGGGGCCCAGCAGAGGTTTATTTAAGAGAAGCAAACAGCTTTTCTGACCACAGTGCAGTCACCTGCAGGGCTGCGGTAAGCATCTCTGATGAGGTGGTCCTGGCCATTCAGTGTCCCTCCCGTGGGAAGGGGCTTCATGAGCTCAAGCTCAGTTCCCCTCCCACTCCCAGAGGTGGAGCGCATGGTCGTAGAAGGAGCAGGTGGCCAGGAGGCTGAAGGCTGAGTCTGCGGCTTCTGGGCTCAGGCCACAGTCACGCGTGGCGGCGGCTGCAGCCTGCAGCCAGGTGCCGTTCTTCCTCATGTCCTCTGTGAGTGGCTTCGCTCCACAGCCCTCCCCACAGTTATCCTCCGTGCATTCTCGACAGGGTCCTAGCAACTCGCTTGCACCCTTCAGGTCTGCTGTCTCGGCTCCCAGGTTGCTAGGACAGGGCCGTGAGGGGGCCAGCTGCAGAGGATGGAAGAGCAGCCAGGACCAGTCTACTCCATACACCAGCGAGTTGGGCAGTGTGTGAGATGCCAGGATCGTTGCCTCCTGCTTCTCCTCTGGAGTGAGAGGGGAGAGAACCCAGGAAACGCAACATCACCCAGAGCCTCTCGCCATCCTGTCACGCCTAACAGGGAGACTCCACCGAGAACAGCCCCTCACAGGTCAGCAAGTGTTTACTGAGCAGCCGCTGTGTCATGCAAAGGAACCAGCAAGGCTTGGGCAGATGGGTGGAGAAGAAATAGACCATCATCTCGCGGTGGACACGCGTGCATGCCTCAAGAGAGGCATCAGGCAGGGCTACAGAACCACACTCGAGGTTGGGCAATACGGCAAAAGCCTGAGAGAGGCACAGACCTCAGCTAACACTTAAACAAAAAGACAAAGGAGTCAGCCAGCTGGGAAGGAAGGGGGTGTCTGAGGAACAGGGAGCACATGCACAGCACAGAAGTGAGAAAGTCCACAGCTCACACAGGGAACCACACACAGGCGGCCGTGGCACTCAGTGAGTGACGGCGTGGCTGGAGGGCCTGAAGCAAGCAGGGTACTGCACGCCCTGTTTCAGAGTCTGGACTGTGGCTTGGAAAGGAGCCACTGACAAGGGCAAGTGAGCAGTTTCTTTTCTTTTCTTTTTTTTTTTTTTG